CCCGCACATATGCGTGATGTTGCGCTTAACTTAACAAAAAACTATTTTAAAAAAATTTAAAATAATATTTCAGTTTTTTTTTAAATCTTTGCTTTCATGCAATAAAGGCACGGACGATGCATTCCACTTGCAGCGGGTGAACACCTCAACCACATACATCAGCACACGAAGAAAACTCCGAGCGAATTCCATGCAAATGGTAGGTAGCGATTGTGCAAGTATGCAAGTTCGCAGGAAAATGTCCAATATAGAGAAAAACTTAATATTGTTTATATAAATGCTTAACAAATTTTTTTTGTTATAAACATTTAACGCAACAAGTTATATTTACATACATATGTATGTATTAAGGTTGTCCTTAAAATATAAAAATATAAATTTGGTAATGGTTCTTGACAATTTATTGAAACTTATTCACATGAATTTATAAACATGCCGTGTTTTAGTTGGCCAAGGTAAGTGTTTCTATGAATTTTTGTGATTTAAAAAATAGCTAAATTTTTTGAAACCCTGGGGCCTATTTCATAAAGTGACAGTAATATCTCTGTAACGGCAGGCATTTTCCATATTACCGGCGACCATTCGACAGCTTGGTGGGTGTTTTGTTTCATAAAAATAATTGTCACCACGGCTTCAAATCAATGAGAAAATTCATTAAAAAAGTGACAAATTGTAGCTGTCGGGTATTGAAATTGTCGTTGAAAAAATTGTCCCTAGTCTTATGAAATTCATATGTAATAATTGTAAATGCCTTATTTTAGTTTTACGAAATATTCAAATTATTGAAAAATAATGAAATGCCCGCAATTACCATATATGTAAGTAAATTTGCAAAATTCTTCTGTGAAAACATTCAAATGGAGCTATTTAGTTTTGTCGCTATTGTCGCGACAATTTTGTCAGAGTGACAATTGTCATCCCCATTTTCGACAATATTCCGGTATTGTCACTGTCGCTTTCCAAAAACTTTCACAGTTGCCTACAAGCGTATATGAAACAGAAAAAATGTCGTCGATAATAGCTCAATAGTAGATCATTAGGGGGTGACAGATAGTGGCTGAAAATTTTCTACAAAATTGTAAAGACGACAAATTTACTAGGGGCCACCGAAAATGCAAATGCATATCCATTTAGGGTACTACCGTTATAAATGTATGGATTTATGTTGTAAATTGCAACTGCTTTATTAAAAACACAAGCACCCTCAGCTAAAAAAAGATATTATTAAAAATTAGCCACTGGAAACTGAAACGTTAAACCCACAAACTGCATCAAATTTTAGATGAAGTTTTTTTTTCGAATGGAGACTTTCCTACTGGGTATTTAACCCATGTACTGAATTTGTGCCTGGAAGTATGCAACAGCAGCTGCATATTCCACAAAAGTAGTAAATCAGTGAAAGCGAATGCCAACGAAACTGTGGTCATTAAATTAACGCCAATGTAAAATGGCAGAAAAGTTTTAATTTCCTGCATAAATTCAACTTGCACAAATAACATCTCACACACTCATACACACACATTGACAAATGCGAAATACCGCATTCAAACATATTCCACTTCCAACCCTACAAGACAGCTGAGTATCATATGAGTACTCATATTATCAT